TCATGTAACAATATTAGCATAACTACAACAGTGTTACTAGTGGGCTAGTAGCACAGTGGTAGTGATGTCCGTTATCATGAGTATGGTGCTCGTTCGATTCGGCTCCAGACTCACCAAACCTCTCATCCATTCGGGGTCAGGAAATGGGTACCGGACCTGTCTGGGAAAAAATCACTCTGTGCAATCCAATTGGGAACGCTCCAACCCGACTGTCTCAGGACTCTAGGGAGAATTTCTCGACCAGCACTACGTATTCAAGATTAAATGGAAATCCTCAAGCAACAACCGAAGCCACACATAAAGTTGGAAGGTCTTCGTGGACAATGGATGCGAGGAAACGAATCGAATGTGAGAAGTGCCGGGATCCGCACAGTGGACGTGAAAAAAAATAAAAATAACATCAGTATTTAGTGATCAATGTACAAGAATGTGGTAGCGAGGACGAGGTTCTTTTAGTAATGAGGAAGAGGATTCCGCCGAGTGTAGAGTATTTATAAACAATGCTAGCATTTGAGACAATCACTACATTAACAACAACACGTAGTGGTTCCATGGCCATTGTCAATGACTTTAATATGTTGATGAGGCAAGCATATGGAGGCTTCATTTAACATTATTCCGACTTAAATCGAATTAATTGTGAAAGGAGAAGATTAGGTGAGAAGCCTAGTCGATGACAAAGGGCGTTGGAGGTCTGCACATGTCTTAGGAAGGCAAATTGCACTTCTAGGGGCATGTCTATAACTACGCGAATGACGAAGGGTCAGGTCACCAAGAAATGTTCCTGTGCCCGGTAAAATATCCGATGGTTAAGAAGGAATATTAATGCAGCGCACGCACGCGGACGTTGTGTCAAGTAATTAATGGTAATAAAGGATAAAAATACGAAGCTCTTGACGTTCATCAATCTCTTAGAGATGTGCCATGCATTCAACTACTATAGACATCGTTTGGAGGTGATTGAATGCATATCTGGCCTTTACAATGAATTGCGGTGGCCCACCGATATATCGAGCCAGTGCTGTATCCTCTAAGACAAGTCTGGTACCAATTTATCGACCCCGGAGGGATGGTAGGCTTGGTGGGCCATCGGCGCTGAAATCGATCCAATCTGTATTCAAGGGTGCCTCCGACTGCTGCGCCAATTAGTGGTACAGTAGGTTACATGACAGGAATGACCAGTAGGAATACATGATTAGTTGAAAACATGTTGAAATGAAAGATGGAGAATATTTCTGGTGAGATTCATTCTCCGTAGCGTAGCAGTTGCTTTGGCTACTGTTGTGCCATGATCATATTTAGATGGATAATGATCAGTGCTAAAGAAACAGAGAAAGTATGCGGAAACTGTCACCCCTAGAAGAAGTCTAGTCGTTATGTGGGTTCGTTTGCGTTTTAAAGATGCATCGTTTTCTCTACGCATTTGAATGTTACCCTGGTGTGATTTTCTTAGGAATCGCGGGATAGCCATACCGGAGCGTTCAAGGATGTTCATTATGAACTATCATCCGCTTTCAGGAATTGGTTGAAGGTCTACCATTGGCCCATTGAACGTTCCGTTTTGTTATTTTCCAGTGGAATGTAAACTTGCCATGGACATGTGGTAGAACCTCAGACGACAGCGGTTTGAACATGGCGCTTGACACCTGCTTCATTGTGTAAATCCGACGAACTAATTGTGGATGGTTAATTGGGACCATGTGAAATAACATTTACCTTCTAATAAATTTTTGTTCTCTGATCGTCAGTCAAGTGTTCCTTCATTGTAGCAAATGTTGCAAATTTGCGGCTTTACTAACGTGAATCAGTGGAGAATGTTTGTTTCGTTGTTGCTCAGAAGTAAAAGTCCTTCGACGGCCATTTCATTCAATCATTTGCTCAAATGACTCCAATGACAATACAGAGAGGTAGACTGATGCTCGGGTGAGGTGGGTGGAATAGGAGGTGGAGATGACGGGTGAATGCGAGGGTGGAGATGATGGTAATAGTGTGTGGCGCATCTGAGACACAGCATCGACCCAGCCCATTCATGACTGGGATCACCTTTCCCGTTTCAGGCACGAAACGCCAGTCACCCAAATACCTGTCTAATGTGACATTCTCCCAAGATCGCCTTTTTTCGTTATCCTTTAGCAACTACACCAATGATTTCTTATTACATGATTTCTTTTTTGGTGTCTTCTTGTTTTCTTACCAGTTTAATCTTTCGTTCTAATCGTTGTCTTTTTTGTCCTGCAAGACTTGGCACATTTTGGCAGTTTTCAAGCGTGGTAGTCTTGATGACCGGTGTGATCTCCATAAAGGTCCTATTCTTCCCGTCTCGGTTTGGCAGCGAATACTACCTTTTTGCTATACTACTTCATATCCATTTCAAGGATTGCCCCATCACCTAACACAAATTTTGTGCCAGAACTTCTCCGAGGAAAGGCTACTCTCTTATTATATCCATTGATTCAAAAAACCTTTTCTGGAAGAATTTTCCAGTGCCACCACCCACGGTGGTCATCGTTTTTGTGGTCAAATGGGTTAGAAATGTCTTCTCTTATCTTCTCAAAAATCCACCCTTTCTTTTTCCGTCTATTTTGGAAAAAAGGTGCCTCTTTTAAATGATTGCTTGAAAATTTTTGAAAAGATTTCATTGTTACGGTTTTTCACTGTTTCACTTTTTTTTTCAATATTTCATCTGATCTCAACTCTCATTTATTTGAAGTATGTAGTGCATTAAAGGATAAATAAAAGGATAAAGCTTTTGGCGTTGATCAATCCCGGAGGGATGCACCATGTATTCGACTTCATCAAGCCTCGTTTGAATGTGATTGAATGCATATGTGGGCTTTACAATGACTCGAGGTGGCCTACCGATGTATCGAGCCAGTGCTGCTATCCTCCCAAACAAGTCTGGTACCAAGTTGTCGACCCCGGAAGGATGGAAGGCTTGGTGAGCTACGGGCGCGGGGATCAACCCCACATGTGTCGCAGGGCGCATCCAACCACTGCGCCCCATGCACCCATTTAGGACATTATTCGATAATATTTTTCTTGAATTGTTTCGAAATCTTCGCTTTCTTTTTTTCCTATGAAATTTTTAAGAAATATGTAAGTGCTAGAAAATGGGTTTCTGAGAGGTTTCACCTCTTAAGATAATATTTTGGTTTTTAGGCTTTAACTTAACAACTTGAGAACTTCTAGCAGTGTGATTTTTTTACAAGAATTGTTTTCAAACTCATTGTAATTCCAGAGTTCTTGTAATGTTTTTTCTTCTTAGTATAGATTTCCTCATAAAATTTCTTTTTAGTTATAAATTTCTAATATTCGGCGTCATCATATCATAATGAAGGTCCTTCCGGGGTGGTGTCTGCGGAATAGCAGCACTGGCTGGATACACTGGTAGGCCACCGCGAGTCATTGTAAAGGCCAGATATGCATTCACTCACCTCCAGTGATGCTTAGTGAAGTTGAATGCATGGTGCATTCCTCAGGGATTGATCAACACCGAGAGCTTAATCCTTTTATCCTATTATCACATCATAATTACATTCTTTTTCTTCGTATTCTCTCGGTTTTAACCATTGGGATGACGGCTGGTTTGTTTTGTGGGAAGGAAAACATAATAAAGTTTTATTATAGAAGCAGTCAGAGCGCTAGAACAGTTTTCACTTTAAAAAATGGTGAGCGGTTAGTATAGCTCTAAGTTTTCTTAAAGCTGAGAGTAAAGGCTAGCATGAAGAGAATGATTTTAATAATGACGCACTAGAGAAGAATCTTCGAGAAGAGAACTGGGTTTGTAAATGTTTCTTTCCCAATATTTGTAACTTTCCTTGCTATTTTGCTTACAGAACTGCTTACTTCCTTTTTTTTTACTTCATCAGTTACTCTGAAAATGCACCTCATGACAGCCGTCGAGGCGATGCGACGCGCAACTTTGATTTGACTTCAACGTCTCGCCGCTACCGTAATTGGGAAGCAAATCGTTCCTTCTAAAAGTATTTCCTTTATAAAAAAGTAGAGGAAAGAAAACAAGAAAGAGTAGAATTGTAGAAGAAAGGATGTGCTTAACGAGGAGAGAAAAAAGGAAAAGAACATGACATGCGACTTTTACTCTGTTTAGTGTTCTTGTTTATGGAATTTTCATGGCTTTTAGTACCACTGAAATAAATAATAAAGGATAAAGCTCTCGGCGTTGATCAATCCCTGAGGGATGCGCAATGCATTCGACTTCATTAAGCATAGTTGGAGGTGACTGAATGCATATCTGGTCTTTACAATGACTCGCGTTAGCCTACCGATGTGTCGAGCCAATGCTGCTATCCTCTCAGACAAGTCTGGTACCAATATGCCGACCCCGAAGGATTGGAAGGCTTGGTGGGCCATGGGCGCGGGGATCGATTCCACGTATTTGTTGCAGCGCGCCTCTGACCACAACGCCACACGCGTCCACACTGAAATACAGAAGCGAAAACTTCCTATGTTTCCTTTTTGAGTGCTCACCTTTATTATCATTATCATTAAATAATATGGACTCATATCTTTTAGAATTTGTGGGCATACAGAGGTTATCGTGAAAATTTTTATTACGCTAGCATTTCGGCTCCTTCAACCTCTTCTGAGCCTCCTTATAAGAAACACTTGTAATTTTTTGAATAAAGCGAAATATTGACTGTTTACGCCGCTGTTAAATGAAGGCGAGCTTGCAAAGGCATGAAAACCATATTCTTGTTCCACAAATTCAACTGAAATACCTCTTCAACTTAAAGTGCTTGGGTTACTAGACTTCGAGTGAACTGACCTTTCCACTCTCTGAAGAAGGTGAAACCAACCGCCGATACGTCAGCTATGTTTGCTCGTCAAGAAAAACGGTGAACTGTTGATCACTGCCGAAGCTAATAGGAAGTCGGTTTTAAGATAGGTCTTCTAGACCTGGAAACCAGTGCGCATTCTAACTAATATGACAGGAAAGTACAAAAACAATATTGAAAACATTGCGTTACGTTCTCTCGTAGATGCAACGCATCGTTATCATCACTGTCACCAACGAGTTCACAAATCTATCCGTCATGGCGACAACACGCGGCAATAGGCGACAACTGGCCGGCCTTCCGCGAGGGCACTTCTTGAACGTTGAGCGAACGTGCTCGTTGCCGTCGTTCGCCGGCTTTTTTCTCGGTGACGATTTCCAATCGAGTTTTCAACTTCCACTTAGGTCAGCATAAACTTGTTTGCCTGCGGAAACCTGATTATTGCGTGATCATTATCGATTTCATCTGGATAATGGCGGCTAGAAAAAAGGCTATCCACCACTTTTTGAATTTCATTCGTTCGAGTAGCTCATTTGTTTTGTCGATTGATATTTCTATTGTTTAGGTTATGTTGTTGCTTTTATCTTCCAAATACGAAATACCTTTGCTTTCGCAACACAGAAAATCAGATGATATTTATCATAAAATTTATATTAGTTGTATTCAATGTTTTTTTTTCCATAGCGATCGCATGTTTATTCCATTGTCATATGAGAGTTGATGGACGTTATGTCCGTCATCATGAGCATGTTGCTAGTTCGATTCCGCTCTAGGCCAACCAAGCCTCTCATCCCTCCGGGGCCGGGAAATTGGTACCGGACTTGTTTGGGAAAAAAATCACTCTCTGCAACCCAATTGGGAACGTCCAGCCTGGCTATCTCAGGGCTCTGGAGAAAATTGGCAGAACCAGCATTCTACGACATTCAAGATGATATGGAAATGCTCAAGCATCAACCGAAACCACGCGTAAAGTTGGAAGATCTTCGTGGACGATGGATGCGAGGAAACGAATTGAATGTGAGGAGTGCTGGAATTCGCGCATTAGACGTGAAGACGGGTCAAATAAAATAAAAAAAAGTTGATGGACGATGAATAAAGTGGTAAGTTAGGTCTAGAAGAATATATTGGAGATCTTGGATGTTTTAGGGATATTCCATATTTACATCTAAATTCAAAATCAATGATTACGCCAGCAGGGTAGTGGTCAAGGGTGCTTTCCAATACGCGCATGGTTGCCGGTTCGATCCTGCGACCTGGACCTCACCAAGCCTTCTATCCCTGTAGAGTTGGCCAGTTGGTATAAGACTTGTCTGGAGGGATAACAGCACTGACCTATTAGGTCGATCGGCCACCGTAAGTAATTGTGTAGGCCAGATATGCATTCACTCACCGTTACAATTCCACGAATTTGGTTGGATGCATGATGCGGCCCATGGACATTGATGAACGCCGAACGCTTTATCCTTTCCCCTTTAATTCAATTCAATAATAATATGCGATGTAGACGACGATAGGAAGAAACCGATAGTCGTCCCACTATTGAAACTATGGTGCAATGGGAAACGTAAATATGGTGAAAGACTGATTTAACGAAGTATACTATTAATATAATAGAATAAGTATACAAAACTGCAGCTCCATTTCTGTCATCTTCATCCAAGATGAGAAAGTTCTCTGCTTAGGTAGTTTAGTTAACCAACTACAGAAACATTTATAATCCTGGTTGATATTTTTATAAACAACATCTTGAGCTGAAAGAGAGAAATGAGTAAGTTGTAAAAGAGGATTTAAAGGTCTGATAACTATATAAGTGAAAGTCCGGTCCGTCGTAACCCTATACAATTTCGGAGTTTTTGGTTGGAAATCAACAAAATACCAATAGCTTTTATGGTCAAATTAAGTAGAACAGTGCGAATAGACGAAACTATGGAAGAAAATTGATTTTTCAGGAAAATCAATAAGAGATCACTTACGTTTCCGAATAGTAGGTAAAATCCTTTCCTGGGTTATTAGGCTGGCTCGAGGTTGATAAAAAGGTTTATTCGGCTAACGTTTCGCCGTCTTCATCTTCTTCTGAGCAGATGATTCAAGTCGATGGCCCACAGTCGTTCGTCTTGTCGATGTGGTGTCTTTGTATACGTATCGAGTCCGATTTTCCTTAGTGAAGCATTCGAATGAGACCACGAGCACTCAAAATAATCACAGTATTCGTGACATTTTAAGCGTCTTGGATTTGATAGATGGCGACTATTATCCGCTTGCCACATTGACGCCCACTGTCGCCGTACAGCGCAAACCGGTCGTAGCGACTTTAGCCGCGCGACTTTTTGTCGCTCCGTCGTCCAACCTCGTTGGCGGCGGTGTTCTTTGCTCTCTCGAAAACACCATAGGTGGAAGTATTTCTGTTAGCTTGCTATAAGCTTAGTAGTTTCAGTATTTTCATCAAAAATAAATTTACCTAAACCTCTCTTTCTTAGCTTTTTTCTGTGTTTGTAACTTAGGGAGCTGTTCTGTTTAGATACAAGCGAAAAGCTTTTGTAGTAGCCATTTTCATAGCTCTTTTATGGTTGTTTAATTTTTCGTTGTGCTTAATATGTGAAACACATATAGATCGGTGTGTTAAAGCGTTCCCAGGTCTTCAGCACGAGCAGTCGCGTTTATGGATCAGACGGAACCATTCCCAGACAAATGTAATACCAATTTGCCGACGTGAGAGGGATGGAGACATGATTGCCGGTGGCGAGTGTGAAGAGACTAGACGTATACTGTACGAAATATCTATCCACTGTATCTCCCAAAAATTTTTTTTAATCTACATATCTCAAAATCAGTTCGTTTACTCTTCACATTTCTCATAGTCCTTTCTCTTCAGAGTTTATTTTTCATTTTGATAGCAGTTGGGAAATTTGCTTTGAGATCCAAAATCTATTTTATTCGTGCGTATTGGATCCTTTTTAATAACTCATTTATTAGACACACATGTTAACCTTCTATTTTCTGCCTACTATAGTTTTTCACTGCAGGGTATGATGTGGATTACAACCACAACGATGCTGAGGTATTCGCAAAACTTAAACCCCGGGCCAGATCGAACTACGATTTTCCTTTTCGGTGGGCTCGTGCATTACATACTGTGCCACGAAGGGCTCTTGTTATGTTCTCTCAGCTAGTTTTCTACCCAGCGCTGCCATTAGCGATCACCCATCAACGGGATTGATCTAAGGAGCACAAATCGGCATTGAACCCAGTTAAGCTGAGGCTGTAGTTGAAATCACAATCTTAACCTTTTATTTTCTGCCTGCTACAATTTTTCACGGCAGGGTAAAAGGGTATTACGCACATATTTTTTATCTACGTTCATCCCTCCAGTTTTGTTTTGTTCGCGTTGCTTTTTTCTTGTAAACTCCATGTTTTTCATCGAAGCATTTGTTTTTGCAGTCAATACAGTGCTCAGATTTTACTCACAACACATTGTATTCATTGGTTTTATCGATGTCTAGAAAGGTTCGCTAAATGACTAGAATTTTATTGACCACAAAATATTAAATTTTACTCGGTTTTTTTTATTTTCCAGGTGGACTACTAGATAAACGCTGCGATTCCTCGTCGTCGAAATCAGCGACAATGCATAAGTCGCACCTAAGCCGAGTAAGATATTGTCGATTATTGATCTTACCTAGCGGTTACTTTGTTGATTACTCTTGACGTGTAGCGCAGTAGTTAGAAGTGCCCTGCAATAGACAATGGTTCGATCCCACGCCCCAGGCTCGCCAAGCGTTTCGGGATCGGCATATTAATATCATACTTGTTTGAGAGGGTAACGACATTGACTTGATACATCGATGGGCTACCACGGGTCAATGTGTAGACCAGATAAACATTCAATCACGTATAATGATGTTTGATGAAGTCCTGTGCATGGCGCATCTCTCAGGGATTGATGAACTCCGAGAGCTCTATCCTTTATCTTTTCTTATATGCTTACTTTGATACTTGGATGACCCTTCTCTGCTGTCGGGATGAATCTCACGGTTTTACATCTCGGCGCGGAACACCTGCCATCCACGATGAGGCGGTAGGTTGTTAGGAGGGATCTTCTTATATACTTTCCACATGTATCTCTCATTCGGGCGATTTCGTGTTATACAGCTACCAGGCCACGCGATGCACCTGCTGGTGTTTGCATAAGGGGGGGTTGAAGGTTGAAGGTAAGGTTGCATAAGGCGCACTGAAAACGAGGTTGTGGTACCTTTGAGAAATTGGTTAATTCAACTGTTGAGCCTCTTGTCTATCTTATTCCAGATTCCCTTATAGCATCTTCTACACGTGCGTATTGCAAAGATGGTGCTTTTCATATATTTTGACTGTATCCTGCATATGTAATCTTTTAAAAGCCTGTTTTCGAATGACTGGAAGATATATATTGGCGCCGAGTTGTATCTTTTCCAGTAAATGAGCTCTACATCTACTGTAGAAGAACTTGGCGAGTTAAAATTACTTTATATGTCAACAACAACAGGGTGCTTTATCTTGAACGGGTTAGCGATGGAACAATCCCATATTGGCAATCTCTCATACAATCAAAGTTCAATAGACAACTTTGGAGCTATGCGACACGAATGGGAGAGAGATCGTGACTGACTGGGTGCTTGAGGTACTCGTCGTTTAATCGGATTACTTTGGTACAGATGGCAGTTTATGCATATGTTCACCCTTTTATCGAAATAAATGTATCAAGAACAGAGTATGAAGTAAGTACCTTATTTTATTGATAACTTAAGACGAGGAACAATTTTATTCGGTCAACGTTTCGACGTCATCCTCTTCCTCCGAGTTGATGATGGTCCACAGTCATTCATCGTCGCGATGTGGTGCCTTTGTTGTCATATCGAGTTGAATCTTTTTTTATTGGACCACCGTTTGAATGAGGCAACCTCAGTAGGCAGCGCTGTTTCATAGAAGGCGGTTGTTACTGATAATGACCAATCACAATTATGTTAAATTAAAGTCTGTTTGCAAGAGTATAAAGTGTTCGGGATAGACCTCTTCTTGTGGATGTTCCATGCATTCGACTTCATTAAGCATCGTTAAAGGTGTCTGAGTGCATATCTGTCCTATACAATAACGGTCGATTTCAATATATCAATCCATTGCTGCCGTACTTCACGACAAATATGGTAACAATTTTCTGGATGGAAGCTTTGATGAGTCCAGGCCGCAGGATCGAACCGGTGACCATGTGTCTATTACATGACACCTCTAGTGACTGCACTACATGCGTCTGTTAATGAATTCACATTAAAAGCTTAGCTACCTGAATTGTGGGAATTAGTTGGCTGGCTAAACTAGTAATTCATTTTTTTCAGACGAATAATCCAACCGCTGTCGTTACGGAGCAGGATATTGGCAACTTTGTGTCGGTAAGCGGCATAGGAAAAGGTTAGTCGAATCGATTTTTTTATTTCAAATGGATTTGTTGTGAAATTCGATCCCACAGTACAATCCATCCTTCCCACGAACTATTTCAAATGGGTAAATTGTAAAGTTGAGGACATTCAGATTCTTCTCCGTGATTGATTAGGAGTGAATAATTGGATACAGCTATTTTTAAAGATATAAACAAGTACCTTATTAGTGACTTTAAAAATGGAGTTGTTTCTTTTCAGTAGGTCCATAAAATAAAGTGCCGTGAAGTTCCCGGTTTTCCAATGATTGTCTTCATGAGTTCATTTTTTGCCAATTAATTGATGTTTTCCACCTGTGCATGAGGTACTGAAATTTCAAAAAATCATTATTATTGGACAAAAATATGACACTTTGTTATTCAACTACCAGAAAATCTAACATTTACTTGGATACTTTGTTGGCGCGTATTTACGGCTAGTGCGGGTCCCAACAGACTTTCCAAAAAAGTCTGCTAGTACGAAAATGATTTGGTGGGGACAAATCAAAACACGTGGAAGCGATGTAGTAGCAACCACTTAAGTGAAGAGGAAACCAAAATAATACTCTGGCGAAGTAAAATTTAGGTATTCTGCGTTACGTTGGTGAGATTCGTGGGAGGGATGGATTGTACTGTGGGATCGAACTGGATGCGCCAAGCGGAAAGCACAATGGCACCTATCAAGGTATTTTTTGCCTTTATTTTTTCTAAAATATCGTTTTTCTACTTCTATTGTCGCCATTTTCTCTGTTGATCGATTACTGACTTTTTGATTCTCGTACAAATGCAAGTATCGTGAAACTAGTGAAGTATTCGAATCGGCTTTTCTTCGTTTTAAACTCAAAGACATTTCTCATTCTGTGTAATCGTATTTTTAAAGACAACTCAATTTCTTCTCACAGTGTGCTTTTTACCGTTCAACCACTGTTTTGTTATTGTCGTAAAAAATGGATTTGTAGGTGTGGTGTACTTCGTTTGTCCTCCACTTCATGGAATTTTTGCACCAATTTATCGAGTCGAACTTGATGAGATCGACGATGTGCCAATGATGACTGTATCGCAGTCTTCGAAGGCTCCGGAGGTATATTTTTAAGGTTCAGGCACGAAATCGATAAATTAAGGACGATGGACGGAATGTTTAGTTCTATTCATACCATCGTTTGAACACATATTTGGCTTGTGAAATGACATGTGAGAGCCTTCTGATGCATCAAGTTGGTGCTTTTTGTCTTCTCTCACAGGTCTGGTAAGAATTCGGCCGCCCGGGATGGACGAAGGGCTTTGTTTGTTCAGCGTGTGGGATCAAACCAACGACCCTATGTGTTTTTGTAAGACACTTCTAATCCAAACTCTCTCTCTCTTTCTCTCTCTCTCTCTATATATATATATATATATATATATATATATATACTTGTATGTGCATACATCCTCCCAACGGTTTTCCGCATCATCGTGGCTGGGAGGTGTTCCTGGGTATCGGACTGCGATGTACAGCGGTGGATTCGTCACCGCAGCGGCATCTACCATGCTGAGGAGTCCGGTGTTTCCATCAGGAAACCTAGCTAAGAGTAAAACAATACCAGGATCCACCACCGTCTTGGTATCAAAGTCGCATAGTGGTAAATCTCCCTCTGATACACAAGGGCTACGACTGCATGTCGTGGTGACGACCTGGGGCAGACCTTGGCCAGGTTGTCCTCGGGAGTCCAAGGAACCACAATGGCTTAACTAGGAAATCTCCGAAAAATGGTGGTTATGCTGGGGCCCGCACAACTAGTGATGACGGGCCGTTCAAGTATCAAGTATCAAGTATATACATGCATATGCCTACATGCATACAAATATACGTGCATACATGCATACACACGCATAGACACAACCACAAGCACACGCACAACACGTACACACCTTTTGCGAATAAAATAAAGAGTTGTGAAAGGTTAGCCGAAGAGGTAACGGGGTAATAGAACGTTTTTCAATCAATGGCAAATGCAGGAGAAAATAATGCTTAGGTGGTTTTTCCTGGTGATCTTTAGGCGAGTAGCAACTGTTCAAGAACATAAAACCTGGGTGCTTAGAAGTATTATTATACAACTACCCATTCACTTGAACACTTGGAAAATCATCTTCGAAAGTGCATAGCAATTCCAATGAATATCCAGAACCAGTAACCAATATCATGTGGAACCTAATAAAAAAGAGAACAGCGATTTTTCTAGGAAACTTGGGATTCAGAGAATTTCTAAATCACTACCACTCGTTAATAATTCATTTCGAATTTGCACAAGAAAGGGCGCATTTAGCGTAGTGATTAGAGGTGCCTTATAACACATACCTAATCGTTGGTTGGATTAAACGCTTCGGGCTCACCAAGACTTCCATCCCTCCATTGTGGGAAATCCCCTTAAAACTTGTCTAGGAGGAGAGGACCACTGAATTAATGCGCCTGTAAGCCACTGAAATTTATTGTATAGACCAAATATACATTCTATCATCACCTCTGCGATTCTTGATGAATTCGAAAGCATGACTTGTTCTTTAGACATTGGTCAACGCTGGAAGCTTTATCCTTTATCTTTTTACATTTTAAGAAAAATATGATGAACTAGTAGCGATTGCTCGGCGATGTCCGATAATTCTTTGTGCACATGACAATCGTTGAACGTGGTTGAAGGCGATGTTTGCACTGGCGGCAGTAATGAGCCAACCAGGCAGGCAACTGGGTCTTCGGGTACGATTGTGTACTGTTGCTGACTGCTGGCTAAGGGGCACCTCTGACAGGCTGACTGGCAGTCTGGCTGGATGGCTAGCCAGCATACAACCGGATTCACTGCTCGAATCTTCCACTCAGCGAACACGTTCTGCTGTCTCTTGTCATGAGTGATGTCATGTGAAGTGCGATCTGTTCGTTCCGAATTACAACGTAGTTCAAGGGCACCTCATCAAAAAAACCCGCTCGTCTGTTTACTTGATAAGATGAAGACTTGTAGCTGGTGTGAAGCTCTCTAATATTGCAACTTTAAAAACACCTTCAGCTAGCTATCGTTCTCTTGCTTAATGTTTTTTCCAGAAAAAAACATTACACTTCCTCAGTTGTGATATAGCTCACGTGGACTTCTAGCGAGCACAGCCTTGCTCCCTTCACTTCCACGAATTTTTGAAAAATTAAATTAGTATTTTGTTAAACAGTTTTTAGCGCTTAACACGTTCTGCACTTCCGACACTGCAACTGCGTAACGTCTTTCGGCCGTCTGGTGATTTTTCCACGATGCAAACGTCGATCGGCTCCGACAAAATGATGGACACATCGATGGTGAGCTTTTCGAGATAATGTTATTCCTCCTTTCTTTAGAATAGTATTTTATAAACTTTACGGAATTCCTCTTCCTGGCTTACGTGTACCGCCCTTCACATCATCACTCTTTTTCACTTGTTGGCAGTATGTAACTTAACTGTAGGTTTTGATGTCTGCCATAACCTGTGTGTACCGTCCACTGGCGCAGCCAGTATTTTACTATTTGCAGATGGACTTGATAGAATTTCACTGACACACGAGATACCTGCTCGGCTTGGGTCGGTATTTAACCGGGAGCTGTACACGCACGTGTCTCCTTACTGCCTTGTACCAAAAAGTATATTTTGCTCTGTTCATATTATAAATGAAATCAATTGCAGTTTTCAAATGTTTCGTGGGGAGATTCGGATGCCATGGTATGTTCGAACGCCACATTCGTTATTCCACCCGGAGTAAGTGGTTTTTTGCTATTTAGGTTCTTTGATATCAGTTTAACACATTTCATAATGTGATACTTGCTATGTCGGATATTCTACCGAAGCCAATGAAGAAGAAAAGAAACATAGCTCTTTGAAAGTAGTATGAGTCCAAAATTCACTTGTAGGAGTTTTGAATATTGGTTTTATACAGATATCTGCAGCGGAAATATGGAAAACAAGAACTTATGTTGCATAAATCTTCCTACTCTATGAAAGTTTATGGTTGTAAGGGAGTAGAAGTGCTGTTGGAGACTACATAAAGTCAAAATCTATCAGTTATGCTTTTCCCTCACCGCAATAGTTCATCCACCTGATGGTGCGAGCTAAGCTAAGTTCGATACGAGCAGCTGGAATACCAGCTAGGACTTAACCACTGCCAATAGTCATCGCTGTCTTGAAAATGTTTCTATCAAATTGGGCAGGAATGGAACGAGTACCTTTACAAGCCGCATAATTAATTCAGCGGGAATGGTGGAAAGCTATGGAACCAAAGTATGCGATGAATTGTTGCGATGCTGAGTGCCGTTTATGAGTTAGCGTCCTCCTACAGTACACGAATCGCTTTTTTATGGAAGTTGGGAAAATTCAGTTCAAGGGATGACACTAGTCATGAAAATTAAACTTTGCTAGAGTCTGGAAAGATGTTGATTTACTAGAGTTTGATCCAGTGAAAGTTCGCTTCCTGGAGACGATCGTATTTACAGCGAAGTCATCTGGAAGACAGCGAGGAGTGCGACCTGATGAGCATCCCCGAGCCCAAGTCCATTCTCAGCATCAATCGCGACCTGATAGGGCAAAACGAAAATGCTATGTGTATGTTTGTCTGCTGCCATGCACAGTTACACCTATTTGCTCCTTTTCCTCTTATATTGATGATTTTTATGTTCGGACACGTTTATTTGATTGTTTTTATTATTCTATACTATCGCTATTGCATGCTGCAACCATTCACGTTGATATAGTTATATATATGGAGCATATAGCGCACTGGTTAGAGGCGCCATCTAATGCACAAATAAGGCGGCGTCACCAATCACTGCGCTATCCCCCGCCCGTTGCTGTATTACGGGATTCAGTCTTCAATTTTATAGCTTCTTTCCCCCGCCCATTGCTGTTTTATGGGATTCAGTCTTTAATTTTATATCTTCTTTTATATTTCTATGTACCTGTAATTTTACGACTGAAAACTTGAGTATAAATAATGGATGTGTGTACTAGCTATTTCAGTAGGAACATCTATTGTGTTGGACGAGTCTCGTGTCGGCGTTGAGAATCTTCCAGTGGTTGAAGACGATGACGTCGATGACGATGGTGACAACGGCGACGATGGCGATGACGACGACCTCCAGACGCCTCTTGTGGAGACATCCCCTCAGTGGCAGCTGTCGTCGTGCAGCTACTCACAGCAGCTACCTTCCATCGTCGATACCGATACTACATCTACTGATGCAACTCGTCTCGTTTCTGATCATACGACATCTAAAGAATGTGCGTTCTCCATCCGTATTTTTTCCACCATTGGTTTTAAGTTTCCATTTACCTTATATCTCATATATTAGAATTTGCAGTGTGGTTTTTTTGCGTTTGAGGAATATTTTTGAAGAATTCTACTTAGAAAGTAAAAGTAACGAGCCATTTTCGTAAGCATGTTAAACACCAGTGGGACTTAATAGTACTTTTACCACTCAGCTTAAGGATTGCACGTAAATAAATGAGGCTATTTGAAAGAAATCCCGTCTGCTACTCATACTTTTCCTTTATCTGTTTTCTCCTCTGTGTAACTAAGCTTGTTAAGACTTGAAGATGAAGGAAATAATCTTGACGATGGGAAAATCTCATCGGAGGTAGTTTCGACGGAGATTGAGTAAAAGAGTATCAGGAGGATGATCAAAAATAGAAGAGGAGTCCTGGAGCGGACTAGTCGATGGTCAATGAATAAATTTCATGGAGTTGATCAATCAAGTGGAGAGTACTGTGTTGATGATGAATTCACTAAGTCAGTTACTGTGTGAAATTGAGTTTTGCCCGACAATTTACAACGCTCGTCTATCGAATCAGTCAGAATTTATGATTTCTGAACCCACTGTTGTATTGCTCTACACAACTCTATAAACTTGTTTTCGTTGGAAACTTCTTAAAATTTGTCCGCAAGTTGTCATTGCCACGATATTGATGTTTGTTATCGAATCGAATCGAATTCAATGGAAGGACCACTCGAATGAGCAATCCCACTCGACGGTGCTCTTCTGTGCAGGACGGATGTTGGTCTACTGCCGCTATCCAGTATGATCCGCTTTTCTGGTGGCAGTGTATCGTGAAGAAGTCGGTGGTATACCAGCTGACCCACAGCTTACTAATACATCTCTAAAGGTTTTAAGATAGTGTCATGCTACGTGTCAGCTAATGAAATACCGACTGCTGCAGGATGCACTGCCGCCAAAAGTGCAGATCACATTGGATGGTGGCAATGGATCAGTACTCGTCCTGTGCGGTAGGGCACCGTCGTGTGCGATTCATTGTTCAATCGGTACTTCACTTCTGCCCGGCTCTAAAGAAGACAAAGGCAATGGAATGTTAGCCGTATAAATCTTTTGTACCAACCTCGCGTCAACTCAGTAGCCCAAGAAGTTATTGCTTCATTAATATCGTACTTTTAAATCATTTTGTCCCATTTTTGGAATTTTGTATTTGTTTTTGAAAGAAGAAAAGCCGACACTGCATATTTTTATCTGGTATAAGCTTTTACTTCTACACATTACATATTTTTACTATTTGTTTCTCTTTTCTTTGTTTACTGTTGTCTGTTTGAAGCGTCGTTACGGGCCAATTCGAGGCAATCAGTCGACACCGGCTACAATGACGAGAGTGATGCCAGCCGTCTGGAGCACGAAGAGGTCAGGATTCTTTCTCTCCTGTCAGTCAATTATCGACTTTATCGATCACCGCTTTTTGAAGACATTTTCCACACCACAGCAAATGGAATCGCATGAACGTTTTTTTGGACCTGTACTTCAATTAGTAAAAAATTTGCGATTATCTTAGAGTACTTGTATTTTTGTTGTCTTCGTATTATTTCGTCTAGACAAAGTCATAATTTAAAGGCGATGTCCCAGTAAAATCAGGGAAAGGCTTATTTACAAAATCTTGCTTTGATCTAAAATAACCGTTTTTTGAAGTGTTTCGTTAGCGTCCCCATTCTGATTGGTTTTAGAGTAACAACTGCGTTAAATTCATACATTCAGTCTTTTCTTTAATTCCAGCTGTTTGGATCTGTCAGCAGCTTGCTTTTTCCTTTTAGTCTAGAAGTTTTCTTAGTTTTTTTTGAGCTGTTAGGTACTTAGTTCTATCCTGCTTTAAGCTCTCATTCTTGCTTTTCGTTCTCATTTTGTTGATCTACTCTTGCCTTAGTTACGTTCGAGCATTCGAAATCTGAATCGACTTTTTTTTGTTTTTCTTTTTTGTTTTCTTCTTTTCTTTAGTATTCGCGAGCTCCTGGTTCTTTCTTACACTCCGATGTTTTGCTGGCAGAAAATCGGACGGAAGAGAAAAACGATATCCTCTCGGGAGCAAAGTGCTTTTTTTCTTCTCCTTTCTCTTCTGTCAGAACATTTCATACCTTTCCATCACTTTTTTCGTTCATTACACTTTTATCTTTCTTCTTCTTTTCCTTTCCGTCTCTGATATTCCGTTATCTAATCAGTCTAGTTTTTCTTTTGCCATCTAACCGAAGTTGTTGATTATCAGATTGAACGACACTTGTGTTGGAGCTTCTTTTGCCCCCTCATACTTCTACGTGTGAATTTTCTTCATCTCATACGAGTTTAACTACTCTTAAATAGTTTCCCTTTACTACTATCAATGACACTCCACCACCTATCACTGGTTCATATCAGAGTTAAAGTTGAATTATTGATTTTTTTTCTCGTTCTCAAATCGAATCCTTTTACAAGAACCTTAAAATTCAGTGTAAATTGAGTGCTGTGATGTTATCTCCTGCCACGGTTTCCCAAGCTGAGAACGATTCCCGTGTTCCATTGGGAATATTAGCTAAGAGTAAATAAATACTAGGATGTACCACCGTTTTGGTATCAAACTAGTCGCATGGTGGCAAATTTCCCTCTGATCCACAAAGGCGGCTACTGCCTGTGGTGGTGACGACCTGGGCCAGACTTTGGCCTAGCTGACTTCGGATCTCCAAGGAACCGCAGCGTCTGAACCAACAAAACTTCGAAAAAATGTAGATTATGCTGAGACCCGTACAACCAGTGAGGACGGACCATCCAGGTATCCAAATATCCAAGTTGTCAGATACGTCTTCTTTTAATGAGAACCTAACATGAGGTTGTTACAAAACCTTATTTTACATAGATGTCTCGGTCCTATGGCTTTCTCCGGAGTCGCATTCCAGTCGAGTATCAAGGGTAGTTACTTTTTTTGGGATTTGTGAAGCTTCATGGTCGCATCGTGTCGAATCGAGTTGAGTGGAACAATGGATGAATGAACTGACCATCACAATCTTTGCTTAGTACAATGATGGAGCTCTAGTCTGGAAAACGAACTACTGACTATTTGCTCTGCTGCGTTCTCTTTGGAAGTATCTATCATGGGGCGTTATCGCGGTTTCCGTCTGATCGTTCGCCGTTTCGTGGATAAATATGATATGTTCTATGTTTGCGCTCAGCTTAGACTTTACTCACTCGGCCAAGTTAAGACACTTGGACGATCGACACTCCACGCTTTATTGATGGTCCTCATTGCTTGGCGTTTAACATTAGTGCACTATAATGCTGAGATATTTGCAAAACTCCGGACCGCAGGAGTCTGCGGTGGGGAACGAACGCGCTATTGTCCTTCCCGGGAAGTAACGCGTTCACCACTACACCAGCGGGTCTTTTGTTTCGCCTGTCTCTCAGCTAGTTTTATCGATCTTTTGCCATCAGCAATCACCCGTCAACGGGATTGATCTGGACAGTCTGGGCGGAAAGGACAATAGGGCGTTCGTTCCCCATCACAGGCACCTGCGGTCCGGAGTTTTGCAAATATCTCAGCGTTATAGTAATAACTTCTCAGTTCTTCCCCGTATACCCAGAAGTGCCGACCGGACACTTTCGAATAGTTGCAACCTTGTCTTATCAAAGTTCGAATATAAACCTGCACAACAGTATTGTCATCTGAATAACAAATGAAGACGTTTTTCGTAGACTACCATTGAGAATTCGATGGAATCCATTAAAGTTTTTTGACCGTCAAATCTCTTCTTGCTTTGAGAGACCTGACCATTTTTTTGTCCGTAGCTCAGTTTTCTTGGAACATTTGCCTGTCTTCTTTCTTTTTTTTCGTTTCATCGTTTTCGTTTTCTCAGTGGACCAGTGTCATTAATTTTTGGCAGCTGTCAGCAATGACAGGCGTTTCTTCCACTTTTTCTTAGTACGATGCGTTTGTTATAAAGAAAATAGTCTTCTTGGGTGTTCAGTTCTTCACGAGTGCTCTTTGGTTAACTGAAAGTGTTGTGGTCGAAGTCACATCCAAGTCATAACACCATTCCTCTTTGTGGATCGATTTTTTCGGTTGCATATGCGAAAATGAGAGATATTTTCTTTTTGGTGAAATGATTGGCTTAGCGCATGTGTGAGCTCGAACTTTGATCGGGAGAGTGAAAGCGGCACAGCAATGCACTGCTCCACAAGCGATATTTTATTGTAGTTGTCATGTTATTCAAAAGAAGAGAACAAGAAATAAAAGCCTAGAGAATATGAGGATTTAGGAAACTAGAATGTCTCCAAGTTTTGTCGGTTGGTTCTATGGTTTAACTACACCGTAGACCTCGTTCCGTAATTGTGTAGACATTTGACAGAAATAATGCTTTATTTATTTTTCTGCTTATTTTTATTTAACTTTTTTACCTTTTTTACCCTCTCACTAGCTTTTTTGCCATAGAAATTGCTAAGTTTATATTATCTGGTTTTTCTATTCGTATTTTCAAAAAAATTCGTTAGAGGTGATTGAGCGATGCTTTTTAAAACTTGGAAAGAAAAACTTTTGAAATATTTCAAATATAAGGAGGTGCGCGTGTGGCGCAGTGGTCGGAGGCTCCCTGCAATACACATGGGATCAATCCCCGTGCCCCAGGCTCACCAAGCCTTCCGTTCCTCCGGAGTCGGCAAATTAGTACCAGACCTGTCTGCGAGAATAACAGCACTGACTCGATACATCAGTGGGCCACTGCGATCAATCGTATAAGCCAGATTTGCATTCAATCACATCCAATGATGCTTGGTGAAGTTGAATGCATGGCGCATCCTTCAGGGCTTGAATTAACGCCGAGAACTTTATTATTTTTTGTTTTAAAAACCATTAGAAGTCTCAAAATAACTCTAGAAGTAGTAGTGGGTTTTTTATCCGTTATCAGCCCAAGAAAAAAACTGCTCTGGTACTTCCCCCGTATGTTTATTTGCTTTCAGAACGTCTTTATGTGTCTATTTGTTGATTTAATGTGTTCCACAGTCAGACAAGCCGGTGTCGAATGGGTGATAAGGGCTTATCGATGACGGGCTGTTGATGAGCTGATAAGACTATCCGTATTGTGGTTGTTCGGTATTCGTTCGGTAATCATTGCAACCACAACTACTACTAAACAGAAACTCGACTGTGTGAATTTTTTTAAAAAATGTTTAGAAAATTTCTTCTCTATAAGAAATTCGTTTTATTCAACATCACAATCCAAACAAAAAAATAAAGCGTACCAATATCCTTATGATTAGAACTCTCCAATCAAAGATTTTTAACCATTCATAAGTAGCCTTTTTGTTGGTTTTTTGCAATTATTTTTTTTGAATATAATTTTTTTTGGAGCTCGGCGGCAACTTGGCGTCAGAATATCTGATCTTTGAAGTGTTACCGCTTTCTCGATTTTCGTTTTCTTTAATTTTTTTTTTACTAATGTATGATTTGCTTTGGGATTTCTAGCAATACGAGCCTTTGTACTTTGCTTCTCGCACCGCATATTTGCTTCCATATATCAGTTACAAAGTTGCTCTTAGCACATTGATTAGAGCTTACTTGCGTTGCATACTAAGTCAATAGTTCGATTCCGCACCCCATGCTAACCAAGTCCTTCGACCCTCGGTGTCACTAAATTGGTATCAGACTTGTTTTAGAAGAAAAGCCACTAAGTTGACCTCGAAAATCACAGTGTAAATCAGGCCCACGATGCTACGAAGTGAGCCGAATGCACTGGACATCCATGAGATATTGACCAACTACGAATATTATTTGTCCGATTTATACCACTTAGAATGAACTTGTTTTAAAGAGAACAGGAGAGGGAGAGTTTTGACGAAGAGGAATTGAAAGTGCTAATTAATAGAGAATTGCGTAAATAAAGTATGTAGTATTTCTGTTTCTATTACTTCTAATATTTCCAACTTCTAAAATGTTCCTAATACTTCTATTAGCATATTATGTAGTATTTCTCAGATCATCCTGACTTTTAAAATAAAGATAAAAGCATAAGATAAAATCTCTATTTCAGGTCCATGTTAGAAGGTAGGGTTTGGTAAGCCTTTAAAAAAAGAAAGAAAAAGAAGGAAGAATAAGGAGGAAAAGTGGTGTTTTTAAACGTTGTTAAATGCTATGATGTCTTATTGTTTGTAAAGATGTTACGAATAGTTTGTTCACAAAAATAATTTTAGCGCTAACTTTTAACATTTTCAATTCCTTTTGAGTGTGGGTATCTGTGACCTCTAAGCAATTATTCATTCATTCAGTTGTTCTCTATTACTTGCACTAATTCCCGAGACCAACTTTCTTTACAGCTCGACGTTGATCAGTTCGTTGTTTTTTTTGATAAGTACATGTGAGTTCGTTATTATACTATTCAGTAACAATAGTTGAG